GCGTCCGGGCAGGCGACGCGCGCAGCGAGCTCTCCTCCCCGTCGGCCGGCGAGGCGCACGGAGCGTAGCACGCGCGGCGGCGCGCCGCCTGCGGGAGGGGGGGGTGGGGGGTGGGGGGGTGGGGGGAGGGGGGGGTGGCGCGGTGGCGCGGGCGCGCGGGCAGTGCGGCGTGGCATCGCGTCGTGGGCGTGGCATGGCGTGCGCTGCGCTGTCGGTCGGTCAGTCAGTCAAGTCAGTGTGACTCACGTCCTGGCACGGACGACCGGGCACACGCACTCGCGGAACACACACACGGGCCATTGCACACGAGGCGGTGTGGTGCAAATCTCGGGAGAGGGTTGGCACATGCGCGCCCACTGCCGCATATCGGCAGCCAGCCGCGACAGGCTGATTGTCTGCATCGCGATGCGCGTCGACGGAAGCCGCGGCGCGGGCGCCCACGGAGGCGCGTTGCCGTGCCCGCGGACGAGGTCGTCGCCTAGTGGCGGAGCAGGACGGGCGAGTCCACTCCCTCACTCCCTCACAGGGGCAGAGGGGCGCCTGCAGAGAGGGAGGGAGGGAGGGAGGGAGGGAGAGGGAGAGAGGGAGAGAGGGAGAGAGGGGAGAGAGAGAGAGAGAGAGAGAGAGAGAGAGAGAGAGAGAGAGAGAGAGAGAGAGAGAGAGAGAGAGAGAGAGAGAGAGAGAGAGCGAGAGGAGAGAGAGAGAGAGAGAGAGAGAGAGAGAGAGAGAGCGAGAGCGAGAGAGCGAGCGAGCGAGAGAGCGAGAGCGAGAGAGCGCAAGAGCGCGAGGCCCGTCGCCTCTGTAGTTGAGGCGCGCGCCGGTGGCGTCCGGGTGCACACGGAGGTGCACGGGCGCGGAGCCGTCGCAAGGCGGCTTGTCGCACTCGAGCTGGAAGAGCGAGGCGTGCGAGGCCGGCTGACCGTCCACGCTGAACGTCCACTGGAGAGGGTGCGGCGGCGGGACCAGCCGCAGAAAGGCACCGCTGAGCACGTGCCGCAGCTGGACCCAGCCACCGCGCGACCACGAGCCCTCCACCTCGATCAGGCGCCACGCCGCCGCCTCGAGCGGCGCGGCGCCGGCCTCGGCGCTGGCGCTTGCTCCAACGAGCCCGCGCTCGCCCGGCACGAGCAGCTTGCCGTTGGACATGCGGAAGAGGGCATACACGATCCCGCAACCGGTCGGGCTGGCAAGGGTGCAGCCGGTGCCGCGCAGCCGCGCAGGGTCCTCGCGGGAGCAGAGGCGGCGATGTCGGCGCGGCATTGAAGAGAAGAATTTGTCAACGAAAGAAAAACGCGAAAACGCGACAAGGGAGAGCACGACGAGAGTGGGACGACGACGAGGTGGCACGAAGGTTGAAGCGAGAATCGGCGAGAGACTGCGAAGAGAGATAGGAAGAGGCGGACGCCCAAAGGGTGGGCGAAGGCTAGCGCACCACACCCCTCTCCTTAAAATCCCTGTGTGGTGGCGGCGTGCCGTCCTCCCATCCCTCCCTTGGGTGCACTTGGGGACGTCTGTTTTCTTTCTGTTTGTTTCTTTAAAGAAATATATCTCGCACGACACTGGGCACGGGACTGGCGCGCACTGGCACTAATAACACAGGTACATGGATGTAAGAAGAAATCGCACGCAGCAAGTATACACATATAGGACACAGACTAAGACTCCTAGGACTAACAACTAGGACTAAATCTCAACAAACAATCTAAATCTCTCTCTGACCCAAAATTCGAGAGAGATTTTTAGCAATACCAAACAACTCTAACACTCACACGTCATTTGGGGCCTGGAGCCCTGTTCACGCGCGCGCGAGACGTGCAGACAGGGTTGCCAGGTGAGAGCGAATGGCGCGGTTCACGCCTCGCACAACAGAGAGAGAGATGCGCTCTGCATGGTGGGACATAAAAGAAAGCGAGTACTTGGGCGAGTAGGCCGTGCGGTCGACGCTGCCGCGCGCGACTTTGCGCGCGAGGCGGCGCAGCTTGAGAACGGCGGTGGGCGAGAAGCCGCCGCCGAACGTCTCGTGGAGCAGCAGGTTGAAGTTGTTGCGCTTGACAAAGATCGCGTCGTGGTAGAAACCGCGATGCGCCTTGACGTAGCCGTGGCCGTTCTTGTGGTCGAAGGGTTGGCCGGGCTGCCCGCGCGCCTTGCAGCCCATGTTTAGGCGGCGGGCCTTCTCCTCGGTGTTGCCGAAGGCGTAGGAGTGGCCAACGGAGGCGGGCGTGCCGCCGCTCGAGGCGTTGCCAACGCCCGCCGAGGAGGTCTTGAGGAGGGGCGTCCAGAGCTTGACTTCATTCACCTCATCGCCTCCTCCCGGGCCAGCGTGGGGTTCCGCGAGGTCGACCTTGTACCCCTCGTTGTACTGCCGGGTGAGCTCTGGTTTCTCCTTGTCGCCGTGCACGACCGGCGCGTTGGCCGGGGCGCGCATCGCGTCCGCCCAGGCGGCGAGGACGCCGTCGTGGGGCCGCCGGTGGTGGGCCTTGTTGTAAAGGTAGTCGCCGAAGAAATCGACTGGCATGCCCCGCTCGAGCGCGACCCGAAGGGTGGGAAGCGCCACGGAGAGCCAAAGGCCGAGCTTCCGCTGGAGCTCGTCCTGGAGGGTGTCGGAGGAGAGGGCGGTGGCGTACGTGCCGTCGACACGGACATCGAGGGCTTTGCCGGCGAAAGGCGTTGAGGCGGAGACGAAGCGCGAGGCTTCGCGGTTGTTGACGGCGCTGTCTCCGAGGGACGGATTGTTCTTGACGTGCACGTCCCGCGCCTTGACGAGCTCCTGGTGCGCGTACCAGTCCTTGTGATTCTTGATGGCAGCGAGCGCCCGCGGCCGCGGGTACGTGGATTTGCAAGTGCCATTGAGAATCGCGTCGGTAGCTGGAAGGGACTCGGGCTCGGGGAGCGGGACGCTCTTGGGGTAGAACTCAGTCAGGTAGCCGCCGCGGACGGTGTGGTACTTGTTTTTGTCGCGGGCGGTGCGCTTCTCGCACACCTCCTTCCAGTCCGAGAGGGCGGACTCGTAGGTGGCGATGGCTGCGGCGATGGTGGGGTACTTGGACGCACCTCCCTCGTCGAGGGCGAAGTCGGGGTTGTGGGCGACGAGGGTGCGCCAGTTCTTGAGGAGCGACATGGAGAAGTCGCTGTCGGCTCGCGTGAAGGCGGTGTCGATGTTGCACCCGCCCATCTCGGTCCAATTTCATTAACGCTGAGAGAGAGAGAGAGAGAGAGAGAGAGAGAGAGAGAGAGAGAGAGAGAGAGAGAGAGAGAGAGAGAGAGAGAGAGAGAGAGAGAAGAATTCTTAAAATACAAGCCTCTCTCACAGCTTGAAAGACATCGAGTCGTGCAACCTAGGCCCAAGACGAATACGGGGCGCGTGAAACACAGTGGAATCTCTTTGCAACGGCGTGTGCAAGCAAGAGAGAAGAGGAGTCACTTGTGCGTTTTCGACGTACCAATGCACGCGAGTGGGTCAGCCCTTTCTCAATGTCTCAGTGCAGTGCAGTCAATGGCATCCGGGGTGAGAGGCGACGCTCAGGCCAGGGAGAGGAAACGAGAGGTGCTCGGCTCGCAGCTGCGTTCCTGGATGAGTGAGGAGGAACGCCGTTGAGATCAGCGTCTAGGGAAAGATGAGGAAGTAGGCTCCGGCGGCTCATTTAATCCTCACACGCTGACTCGACACACGCATAGGGAATCAACACTCACAAGCAACCTGACACAAGTCAGCTTGCGGATTGGTCGAGAGGAAAGAAACGAACATGATCGGGCAAACCCCGCAAAGTGACCCGTTTTTACCCACCCACGCCCGTGCGCGCGTATCTTAGCTAAGGTACGCGGCCACACGCGCTGGCGCGCACGGCAACCGGGACTTACACGCGCGACACGAGGGACTGCGTTCCTCGCCTGCCTCGGGGGAGAATAGCCGCCCTCACCCGCTGCCGCGCATCGAGCTCGGCGCGGGGCTGATACGTGTCATTCTGTGCCGGCGCGTATCTTAGCCAAGATACGCGGCCACACGTGCAGACGCGTATAGCGGTACTCGCGCCCACACGTGCAGCCGCCTATCTTGGCCAACACAGGCGGGCGTGAGCGCGTGAAACGGCCCCGTCGGCAAAGGAGACTCCCCGCTGGCACTTGCAACGGAGGGAAGGTCCACATCCCTCCGCTCCCCATGGGGGGCGCATAATCTGGGCAAACCACGGGCCCATTCCTAATGCGTTTTATTTTTCCCAAAACAGGAC